TCTACTCGGGTTTTACTGATTAGTTTTATTATCCTCTTTTTACAGTAATAACTTGTCCTCCTGAAAGAGCAGTGAGAGCTTTTAGGATTCAAAGAAACAGCTAGTTCATGACACAGTGCCAGGAATGGTTAGTGGAGACAGAAGAGTCAGCATTAATTCCTTCCCTTTGGGCTTCAGGCACAGTATGTTTCTTATACTCTTGTGAGAATAAAATTCATTGTGGCATCAAAAAATACAGAAAAGCACCATATTCCTAATTCAATGAAAAGACAAGGCGGCGTCATGAGCCTTGTCCATGAAACACTGCAGCTTCATGTCACAACTCTGCAACGTGCGGTGTAAAAACTGTTCCCACAGTTCTGGGAACAGAAGCGAAATGCCCCCCCCTTTGGATATAACTGGAAAAAACTGTGCAGAATTGTCCTTTGATGGCTCTAAGGCTGAAAGGGGAGCAGTTGCGCCGTTTTGTGTAACCGAGTATCATGAGCTGTGTTTGCTGCAAGTTCTGCAACTTGTACCAGCTTTATTTTAAACTGCGAGTTATTTTAAAGGTGGAGTTTCATTACTTGCCTATCAAGGGGAGTCGCAGTTTATTCAAATTTCAGGTTACAGCTCACAGTATATTCAATCCAAACTCAAGCTACATATAAATATGTTCTATGTTAATTTAAGACTTTTGAGCCTGTTTACTATAGAAAAGTTGTTCTGTGCGCTCATATACTGCACTAATTCGAGTGAAACAACCTAATTATAAGTTGATGTCATGTGGCTAAAAAAATACATGTTTATTCCTTCCGTATTTCATGATGCTGACTTTCTCAACCACATTTGCGGAACACACACATGATGTGTTTTCTGGGCCTAGGGCCTCACTGGATAAAGTTATGTTCTTCATTGTGCAATTTGTAATTATAAAGTTGAACCTCATGCAAAATCTTTGGGGCCTTGTGGATACCAGCAGGCTGTCTGTGCTGCCTGTATGTTTCTCTTTCACTGAATAATAGCAGAATTGTATTTTTGGCAGAAAAAGAAATAAAGTAGGCGCACTGGCTATTTATTGTAAGTCAGTGAGTATAGTATGGAGAACGCACCATGGTTCGTCGTCTGCGTAAGCTGGAAATAAAAATGGGCAACAAATGAGCATTCAAAGCTGATTTGGAGAAATCGTGAATCCCGTCTGAAAAAAGCAACTCGATTGTTTTTCTGTGGACTATCCATTATGACAGTTGTTCGGTTGCTGACAGGCAGCTGTCTCCAGCCAAGTGAAGGTAAATTCAGTGACCTGTTACTACTTATAGTTCAGTAGCACTTAAATTGCCTCCCATTGTGCTATTTTATTGCAAAAATTACAATGAAGAAATTCGCTTTTGCCTGCAGACTTTATAGTCCTGAAGAAAAACTATTTAATGCTTCTGTAAAAGGAGCACACAGCAGGTCTCTGCCCTTTGGAGTATTTGTTACTCTGAAAGAGCCTGTCCCAGTCTGTCTTGTGTCCAGTAATGTTTCACTGGCGTAAGGACAATCTATAAAGTCACCCTGTTTTCAGTTATTTCCTCTGGGTACACTGTCAAGCTTTTTTCTTTGGAAAGAACTGGAAGTGTATAGGTTTGGTGGGAAAGACAAACTGAGATTTCCTGCAGACGCTCATTCTCAAACCCCCACTTGGAGATGGCATCTCCTCTGTACAGCACGGCCCTTGAGTCAGAAATAATGCTTTCGGCAAACGCTGACATAGCTTATTAGACCACGAAGTCACACTCTGAATTTCTGTCTTGCTCTAGAGCCCTCTAACAAACAGCTGTAAGTAATATGTACTAATCTGAGGCTAAAATCACATACACCTTTATTAGGGATTTAAAAAAAAAAAAAAAGAGTGAGCATGTGAAAATAAATAAATAAATAAACCCAAATGCTCTGTTTGAAAAGAACCCACATGGGGGGAGGCAGGGAATTTAGCAGTCTACCTCTGTGAAACATCCCACATTTTGATTTTTCCAGCTGCTTGCAGAACACTACTATTTCTTGTTCCTCTCCTGATAACAGAAATTGCAAAAGAGGTGGTTGGAGGGGACTGTTTCAGGAACAAGAGTACAGAAGACTAAGCGTATCTGCAGACTGCTCATCTAATCCACTTTTAACCTGTGGTAAGAAACCACTGAGAAGCAACTGTAAACAGGATGGGCGTTGAGAGGAAATATAGCAGTGTAAGTGCCTCAGGACTCCCTGTCCATTGGTGTTCTTGTAAAAGCTTTTATAACACGCAGAGAACCAATCGTTACATTGTAAGTCAGAAAATGGCAAGATTCTGAATGGCAGCTTAACAGCAGGGAACTTTGCACTTTTGGTAGAAGAGAACTGTGTGGGAGGATTGGGGTTTTTTTGGAAGAGGATGTCTTTAAGGTGAAACATTTGGGAGAAAGACAGTACTGGTTCACCTGCAGCAGGCCCTATACTTCTGAACTGCCTGGAATCCAGCATGAAGTCTCAGATAAAGTGGAGTAAGGCTTTTTCACTGGCTTATCACAGTCAACATTTTAAAACCAATATTCCAGTAACTTTAGATGTCAGTGAGACTGTGGAATAGCTTTTCAGAGGAACTGAACAACTTTTCTTACTTAAGAAGTACTTGCAGGTGTTCATGCTGATTTCCAAAAATTAAGCTCCAAGTGCCAAATTCATAAAGTCAAAGGTAAGTCTGGAAAATGTTGTCACAGGTATGACAACCGTCTGTATTAGGTTTTCATATGAGGTATCGAGTAATAGTAGTGAAATGACACCTTATCTACTGGCTGTCTTGAAAAAGCTGTTCATCTTTACAGCTGTAGTGAAAGACCTGCGTGCTATGTGCAGTCCAAGCTCAGTTTTCCCTGACTTCATTGGAAAAATGTCTTTGTTTCTTAAGGAACATGGCCTTACAAATGAAAATGGGCATAGGTCTACAATATCAAATTGTTAAAAAGTTTAACTCTTGCTTGGCAGCACTTACAAGGGGATTCCACACTTCTTTCAATGAGAGAAATCTGAAGCAATCGGATTTCGATCAAGAAATCTTGATCGACAGCTCACAGACTTCTTGTTTTCTTTGGTGGCTTTATCAGGTTGTGAACATATGAATCAGGAAATGTCACTGGGAGTAGGAGGAAAATGGAAATCGGCTGCGTTTTTCTTCCCCATAGGAAGCAGAAATGAGAATATTGAAATAGTTCTGAGCTCTACGTCTGCCCAGGAAGACTTTTTCCATGAGAAATATCGTGCACTGGAGCAAGAACTTCTTGCAGGATGGAGTTTCTGTAGAGATGTGTGGGTTATTGATTGACAATTAAGGACCCTGACATTCTCTATCACAGAAATTGAAGTCAACACCCTGACTGTTCTGTAATTCACTGGCTTTGCAGCAAATCAGCTTTATACTATAGCTGAAAATCAATGAGTCTTCCTATAATTAATCATTGTTTCTACTTTATTAACAATGTATTTAAAATTAAAAATAACAGACTAATATTTTAAAAGCAGTATTACTTGTCATTCTCTACAAGGAAAAACATTGCATAAATAATTTCTGAGAAAAAAATAAATATGTAATTCACTCTCTGAAACAATACCTTTTCTCTCTAGGTTCTGGTCCCACATAAAATAATTGCAAAATCTATCAACATTGCAAATTTCCATAGTTTATATGATTTCAGCATAAACTCTACATAGAAAATGAGAACAGTGAGGAACTCTCTTCATCCCAAACTGTGTTCATCTGATACTAGGCTTAGCACTTCTACAGGATATATACAGCATGTGATGATTCACGTTCTAATAATATTCTTTAATGTAAAACCACAAACATTAGTCTGAATGTTGAGAAGCTAAGTAAAGGAAAGTTGCTGTCAAACTAAAGACTTACCAAAGTTGCACATACCAAAGACTTTTCTAGAGGAACTCATGACTTTAAAATTAGCAGAGGCTCACTTTTAATGCAGAACCAGCACCTTACTCCCAGAACTTGGCTTGCACAGTCTTAGCACTACGAAGTGTGTGGCCAGATAATCCAAACGCTACAGAACAGAAAATGTAAATTGAGATATCTGAGCTGATACTAAAGTCAATTGTGTTCTAGGAAATAAGGACTAAGCAGTATCTTTTATGTTCAATTATGCATATCGTTAGCTGTTTACAGGACAAACATCAGTGAGGTTATCTGGTTTGAGAGGAGCATCCATTTCATAAATCTGCTCCACTTAGTAGAATTTGTTTAGTTGTTCCTAAAACAAATCATTGTCCCTAAAACAAATCATTGTCCCTAAAACGAATATGGGTTTAGTTGTCAAATCTTGGTTTTGCATCTGTTGATCCTTCAGTCTTTTAATTAAAAGTATGAAATAGATTTGTCACACTTTTGTTTTGAAAACACGAGTGTCGTATTTTGATTTTTGTGTTTTCGAGGAAACAAATGGGGCATGAGGACATCTGACAGGATGTTAATGTCCCAACAATTTGACTTCAGTCACCATAACTGTTGAAATCCCTGCTATCACTAACTTTCTACAACTCGTTCAGAGAGTGGTGTCTCTCCTGGTGCTTCCCTAATGGCATGCTTGTCCTGCATCACGGCACTTATAAAAGTGGGGAAGGGATCTCAGTGTTCTTTTCACATGAAGTGAGTAGAATGACTTCTAACAAAGTGTGATTGTCACCGTAACAGCTTCACTTTCCTCTGCCTTCCTACTTGTACAAGCCACATGACCTCACATGAATCTCCAAGGTGTACCTCTCCTCTCAGACTGAATTTAGGTGTTGCTACCTCCAGCTCGGTTTATCTCGTTCTCTTATCAGACCATAACTGCTATAATCTGATAGATTTTTGACTATGTGAGCCTTTGACCCAGCTTAGCAGAAGGAATTGGAACCTACTGCAGTCAGAACGTCATGCTGTGGCCTGACATGTGAGTGCCATTTGATGTTTTGTAAAATATCCAGAGCTGCTAGGCTGTATCACTCAGAGCCACCTTCTAATAAGCATTTTCTAACTCATGCTGGTTAGATTTGCTGCTCCTGGCTCTGGAGAGACGGGGCTTCTTGTTCTTCTGAGGCCTGACAGTTTCCTTTCCAAAGTCCTTCAGCTCGGACTGGTTGTGGTAGCGAGTGTAGCGCTTGCATTTGCAGGACGTGACAGCTCGGAATTTGTAAGTCCGAGTCTCTTCCTCGGGACAAGCCATCTGGATGCGCTGCGTGCTGCGATAATCCAGGGCATTCTGACGCCACCACTTCCCTCTACCAATAGAGTTGGGAAGGAGGTGTGAGGGGACACACTGACCAGAGCAGACCAGTTCCTTGACAGGCTTGACGCTGCGGCAAGGCCCCTCTGTGACATAGCGGGTGGTTCGCATTTCTCTGCAGCTGAAGTCGGAAGCATCTGCAAATGACAAACACATTAATTACTGACTACTTTCTTCCCCATCCTTGAGAAAGCACTTTTCTTTTTGTTTCTGTAGCAGGTACCTAGCTCTGAACTAGATACAAGCTCGACATCTTGGTGGCAGATTTTGGGAAGAGCATCTCCAAAGACTCACTCGTGCAGCTTCTGAATATTTGGCTACTCTAGTCACGAGACCCTTGAGTAACAACATACAAATTAATTAATAAAAACCTTCTCTTGCCACCAGGTAAATTCCGTGTCACGGTTTTGCAGGTGGGCAGTGGAGCTTCTGAAGCGTAACCCCAGCAGCAGTGGTTACTTCATGGGAAGTTTTGATGGGATTCTCCTGGCTTCATTTACCTGTGGGCAAAACCTTCCCCCATTGCTCTAGTTTATTGACTTCAGAGGTTGACTTCAGATTTAAATTCTTTTGCAACAAAGCAAATGTTCCTTAAGTGATTTTTACCTAGCATAATGTGTTCCAGGTTAGGGAAATTGGCAGGTAACAACAGTGGTAAGGAATTCCCACTCTTCAGGCATTAGGTTTTCCAAGTTCACTGCTCTCTGTGATAATCCCACATCCCACATAACTTCCTTCAGACAGCTAGAGGCACCTTCTGGCTGATTAGGAACCTGACAGTCGGGCTTTTTCCCCCTTTTTCTCAATGGATAGCTATAGGCAAATGAAACATTAGGAAAGACAAGATTTTTTAGCATTGAGGATTTAGAAAAACTTCCCAATTGGAGGAAAAGACTTTTTCCAAAGGCATCTCTTTTGCCAAGTGACATGCTTGGCTAATTGACTTGTTCGGAAGACACAGAATTTGATTTTTTGAAGGTGTTTATCAAAGAACTGCATCTAGATAAACACATTAATGTTCTTCTCTTAGTCAAAAGGACAGTTTTAACTCAGGAACGCTACTTGTGGTGGAAATCCTCACAGGTCAGCTCATAAATAGAAGGCTGTGTCTGTTAGGCCCATTCTCCTTGCTGCGCACAAGGTGGTTCCCTCCTTAGTACATCAAGAGAGAATTCTGACCTGAGTCATTAGTGATAGAACAATATTTGTACAGACATTTTGATTTTTATTTTTCCTGTGAAGTACAGAAACATGATTTTGAGTGCTCAGGTTTCTATTTATCAAAGTACAGCTAGCAAGATTTCATTTTTTAAAAGTTTTAAGGACTGCATTAATGAAACGAAACAATCCTTGTCATAATGCTGTGGCAAAAATGCTGACAACTGAACTCCATATGCACTTAGTCTAATCCTCCCAAGTTCCCTTGTCTATATAAAACATAATGCTCTGAATCAGGTGTATCGTACCATTGTAGCACATAGGCAGATAGAGCTAAATAAAAGGGCATTTGCCTCAGCTATACAGGTTTATTTTCTGTGCACATATGTCCTGTCCTGTATGTGTGCACATACTGCAAAATTATGCATGGTCTGGTGCAACGTCACGTGTCCCGGGAAGATCTGGCCACTTTGGATCATCATTTTGATTCTTTGTGTTAAAGATATTAAAATAAGTACACGAGACCATTTTATATCTTGAATAACTGTCCAGTCTCCTTCACTCTTTCTTAAGTAAATGTCCTTTCCACTTCAAAAAATATGCACCTCTCAGTGGGAAAGATTCCCCCCAGTTGATGTCAGAGTAGTAAGAGGATAAAAAATGAAGGTGTTCAGATGTAACAACAAAACCAACCTGCCTTGACTTGGTGGTTGGTGGGGCTGCCTGTGAGAAGCAGAGTGCTCCCCCTTTTAGGGATTTAAGACCGTCACACTCTCAAAAACATTACTTTTTTTTTTCTTTTAAAATACTGTTAGTGCTATGGTTTTAAACACCTTAACTGACAGCTGCAGCAGAAAAACACAATTCCTTTCCAGTTGTCCCCAGAAAATGAAGGCTAGCTCAGATCTGCAATGCACAATAGCGGAAACTGTAAGTTTGACTTGTTGCTACGTGCATTTGGTAGCCAAATGTGTCAGCCTGGAGGACCAAGTTGCCCTATTTGCCAGTAGAACACTTCTTTAAAACTACATTTCTCTGGTGATAACTCCCCACCTTCCATCCCTCCTCACAAAGCTTGTGTTTTGCATCATTGCTAATGTTAGACATTTGGCCAAATGCAGTGACAAGATATTACGAAGTATGTCAGTGCTGTTGAAGTAGCCAAACTGACTCCAAGATTGCACACCTCTGCAAAGCAGAGTCCCCTCCAATTCATTTGGGCATGAATTCCCCTTGGGAGTGCTTTAACTGTTCAGAACGGCTTTTTTGGCTGCTGGAACCTATCTGTTGGCAAAGGACAGTGAGCAGCACACTTATCTAGCTGAATGCAACCTCCATGTGCCATTTTTGCTGTATGAGCTTAGACATCACTAGTGTGACTCTTTCTAAATATTAAGAACTTATATTATTATCTCCACGGTCAACCCATCGCCCCATCCTAACATCAAAGAGAGAAAGATGACTTGTGATATTTCCTCACAGCGCTTGCAAGCACAAAACACAGAGAAATTGAAGTAATATCTTCTACAGTTTTATGTATTGGAGTTGTGTCTGCAGGGAGCAGCTGGGCAGAATAGGAATGCACATCGTAGTACCTAAGAATTGTTCAATAGATAGACCACAGTTTTCATCAGTAAACTCCGGTATATCCCTTCTAAGGTTTACACTGATGCTTCTTCAACAGTAGATGTAACTCCCTACCACTTACAGCATTAGATCCACACCTAAAGGTTTTAATAAATAAACGTATATGATAACAAGTATTCTTTTACAAACGGCTTGTTAGGGTCCAAAACAGTGATAATGATGTTATTTTTCTTACCGTTAGGGTCTGGAGCTTGTTGTATGTGTCTTCCTCCATGCTTTGCCTGGTTCATTGTATTGTTGTTGCTGAAAGTCTGCTCCATCGGTGTTTCTGTATTTTCAGTGATCTCGGGAATGATTTCTGTAGCATCATTTTTAAACATCTGCCACCCTTCCACAGACCAAAATGCAATTTGTATTAAGACACAGACAGAGCACACAGCCCAAGAGATCTGCATGGTGGCAGCTCACAGATTAGCTTTTCAGCACCCTGACAGTCTCAGATCCCAGGCAAAGGCACATTATTCCCCTTTTTTAAATCCTTTTTAGAACCAAGCCAGCCAATGACTATACAAAGTGGGAAGGGCCAGACAACAACTCATTCATCTCAGCTTTTGTCAGTGTGAAATAAAATGGGTGTGTGGGGGTGGGTTAGTGACAATATTCTACAACTTCTATGTAAAAACTTCTCATATGCGCTTCATTTTTGTGCCTGGCAACAATGGTGATTGACAAGACTAGGATGAACTGCAACCTGACAAGTCCTTCTGCAGTTTTTTTCTAACAACGTTATAATTAAAACCTGCTTCTACCTCCATATTTGAATCTTTGGCTGTTGTCTTTTCCAAAGGTTTTTCAGACTTTTTTATTTTTACTGTTGCTCTTCCCCCCACACC